CCAAGCAGTGCGTCGGTGTGCGCCTGGGATCCGAACCTGCGAACCCCGGGCCGCCCCAGCGGAGCGCATGCACTTAACTGCTTCCGCCACCGGGCTGGCCCCTAGGATGAGTTCTTTATAACCATTTAACTTTCTTCACCTCTTTTTCTTAAAAGTCTCTGCCAAGACCTTTAGTTTTCTCTATGTGATGTTAGTGAATCCTGGGCACTAAAAACAAGAATAGTGTAGCACCCATTTTCTACCTCCCTTAGCGTTTCTTATTTGCTGCTTCTATTTGTCTGTAGGCTTGAAATCCAGTTAGCCAGTCCTTTAGGATGATTTCTGGATATGGACTTAAAGGACTCACCTGTGAATAAAGTATATGAATTTATGACATCTGCTTTGGCCACTCAGAGACTTATTTGCTTACAAGAGTATTTTTGGCTTACTAGAACAATTCCAGGTAGTTGATGTTCCACTATAAGGGATTTCGTCTAGATAAGTGAGATGTTCCTGAATATTCCTTCTACAATTTATATAAGCAAGGGAGGGAAACAAAGGTAACTAACATTATAGATCATATACTTGGCATTGCTGGTGAACACATTCACATATATTCTGTCTTTCTAAATCCCTACCGTAGCTGATATAATAGGGTTTGTATAAATTGTGATTTATTTCCTTTTTCTTGGTAATGTAAGAGATGAAGTTGAGTACTCTGTGTAGAAAACATCTTGTATACTGTATTTCTTAATGGTTCTCTCTAGGATTTTTCTCTTTAATTCTGTACCCAGAAGTTAAAAAGCTGAAGGCTTAATTACCTTTATAAAGCAGTCTCTCCCTTCACTCCAAAAAATGTGGACCAATTCAAAGTAGATTCTGGAAGCTAATTGTTTGTTTTAGAAGAGAAAATAAGAAAGTAATAAGTTCTTCTTTTTACTCTTGCCTAACTGCTGACATTTCTAGCTCTGACATGGGTAAATAATCTCAGACATACACCAGTGAACAGCAGCAGGAGTCTTTCTTTTTTTTCCTTGAGAGTCAGTTTATGAAAGTTTATTTTATGATCCTCATTTTTTCTTTAAAAGTTAAGATAGCTTTGATTTCCCTGAGAAGTCATAACGTAGGTTGCCAATTTCTCTTCAATGTAACAATGTCTCAGAAAATTGGTGCTTCTTTTGTAGATATATATTATCTGGGCATATTAAGAAGTTATCACAGCTTAGGCTTCATCATGAAACCAGGGACCAAAAAGACTATATGCTGTTCATTGTACTCATGTACCTTAATTTAACTGTTACCCAATTGTTGACTGGTTGGGGTGTTTGTCTTTTAATCTATTTATTTTTTAATTCAAAATATATGATTACTTATATATACCAGGCACTGTTCTAGACACCGAGGATACAGTGGTAAGCAAGATAGAAAAGGTCCCCACCCATCTGTAACTTACCTTCTAGTGGGAAAGGACAGGCAAGGAGCAACTAGATACTACATAAATATAAGGGAAATTAACAGCAGAGGGATGCATAGTGGAAATTACCTATGTGATAGTGATGAGGAAATCCACCTGTGAGGAAGGAATTGGTAAGCAGCCTGAAAGATGAAAAAGCAGTTTGAGAGTAAGGAGTGGATAGATAGTTGTCCAAGCAGAGTGAATAAAAGCACAAAGGCCCAGAGGCAGGAAGCCCTTTTTTGTTGTAACAAATATAAGGATGGCTGATGTGTAAGACTGAGGAGTGGAGAAGGGGAGAGTGGCAGGAAAAAAATTGAGAAGGTGAATCAAGGAACAAATCAGGTAAAGCCTTATAGTTCATGATAATTCTGGATTTTATTCCTAAGTGGTTTTTATTTATTCAGTATATAACTAGAAGCACCTAGAATGTGTGTTTGGGTATAGCAGTGAACAGAAAGATGGTCTCAACCCCCATGGAGTTTAAAATCAATTAGAGAAGCCAGGGTCTAGAGGCACTTCCCTTAATTTCCCCACTATTGATAATATTCCTGTGAACTTTCTTAAAATCGTTTTGAAAGATTAACAAATTATTCTCAATTGTAAAATGTACAGTTTTCCACTTTTTTAATGTATCTGAAAGTGGAATGGGTTTTGCAAATGGTAATATCTTATATTCACTGTTGCCGATGGCACTAATCATGACATAGTTCTCATCATCTGTATATGTGTGAACTTGGTTGTTTTCCTGATGGCATGACTAGGCAATTTTGCAACCCCTTGACATTTAAACAACAAATTGTTTAAGACCATTCAAGGAAGGAAAATGAATCCTGGTGGTTGTCTGAAAACAATCTACTGACTTCTTCTGGTAAGATAAAGAAGACACCATCATAAAACTTGCAGAACACCTGTTCTGCAAGTTTATAAGAAAACATTGGCTTATAAGAAAATATTGGAGACCATACTGGAGCAATGTTTACACGAATGCTGGATCACTAATACTCTTGATGGCACCAAGTATAGTATTGTGTAGAAAAATACATTAACAACTGAATTAGGTGATTTAGAAGAGTTGGATTCTGGATGTAAAGAAGTTTTAGAAATATCTTAACTACTTCATTTGGTTTATTTTTCTTTGAGAGGTATAAATATATACACGATAGAAGAGCTCTTTTAGTAAGTATAAAATAAAAATGCTAACTGATAAGGCGTTTTGGCCATTTAATTGGCAGCGTTTTTTTCTTAGTATTACATGAAATAAGGTTAGTAATGTATTTGTGTCTTCCTACATTACCCCAGCTTACCACTATATCACTTTTCTCATCTCTTTTCAATCACAGGGTTAGGGAAATTGTAGAGTTGAAAGGGGTGGAGTTGGAATATCAGAAATAATTGACCTTCTAACTATAAAGAACACTGGTGTAAATTATCTTCTAACTTGTTTTTCTCTTGGGCGTAAATAAGCTTTGTTCAGCATAGCCTTCTGAGTATTATATATTTGCTTAACTCCACATATATTAGAAGACCTTAATCATACGGATTCCTGAATTCCAAGCTTTCTTCCTTTTAGGAGGATGGTTGTGAGTAAGGTTAAGAAAGACTGGAAAAATCTAATACTTGTGATTGTTTTCCAAGTGGGGAGTCCATTTTGGCAGCAAGTTTGTCTTTTACACATTAGAAAAAAATCTTAAACGTTTACATCGTAGTAACTCAGAGAAATCTACTTTGACGGTTTTGATGTATTTCCTTAAGTATTTTACTACATTTTAAAAATACAATTGAATTTATGTAATACATAAATTTTGTATCTTTTTCACTTCATTTTTCCTATGCTAATCTCTTTATAAATATTTTTCATGTCAAGTTTAATGTTCTCTTTTTGTAAGCTTGCTTTTGTGAATTTGACTTGAGAACAGTTTTTCAATTTTTGCAGTTGTTTGGCCACAGGTGAATGAAACAAGATTTATTCACATGGCACGGAATAGATCTTTTCATTTTACTTACCTGTTAATCTGTTTATTCGTAGTTACTCTCATTTGAGAAACAACAAGCTTCTCCTTTACTATATTTATGTGTTTCATAACAGGCTCGAACTCTAAGATGCTGTTTATTACAAAAAAAAAAAAAAGACACTACGAATATTATCTATTACATATTTTCTTTCCAGGATAAAATGCAGGTTGACCAAGAAGAAGGAGGTCATCAAAAATGTCATGCTGAACACACCCCAGAAGAGGAAATTGATCACACAGGAACCAAAACAAAGGTATGTTTTACTATTTCTGTTGTTGTACCTTTTTGAGATTGATATTTTGAGTTAATGTATTTACTTTATAATGTGTGCTTGTAGTACGCTTGATATTTTTAATCTTAGTTCTGTTGAAAAGTATAGAAAGCATATAACCAGAATAAATACATTTTAATGATTTATTATAAATGATTTTTTAAAGAATGAACCCTAACAATATAAGTAAAATTATCTTTTTGGTAGGAAAAAAGATGTGTTTTGCAGCAACATTTTTTCTTATTAAAAATCATACAGTCTCAGAGAAAATAGGAAATGGAATAAGCAAAATGAAGAAAACTTAAATTAGCAATAACCTGCATTTCAAAATTAACCACTCTAAGCATTTTGCTACATATCAAAATATTTTTATTTGTGCAAAAATATTTTTGAAAGTAAAATTTTAAAGGATAAATGACTCTATTATTGAAAGTTGTTATTTTACTAAGACAGTCATGCCAATCACCCAGATGAATGTGGCTACAGCTCTAAACTGTCATCTTCAACAGATTCTTCTAACATGAATAGAATTTAATCTATGTTGGTTAGCTGTATAGATTTTTTTTAGAGGTTATAAAGATTTAGTTTTAAATCTTAGGCTCTCAAGTAATTTAAAACCTGAAAGCTATTTTTCTAAATTTTTACTTTTACCCAATATTTTTTGCTTTTAATTGTTTCAAAGCTTTATTCAGAGAGTTTACATACCATACAGTTTGCCCACTTGAACGGTTTTTAATATACTCAGAGTTTTGCAACTATTATCACAATTTTACATTTTCATCACCCCAAAAAGAAGCCCTGTACCCATTAGCAGTAACTTCCTATTTCCCCCCAACCCTCTCCCTGCCAGCTCTAGGCAACCACTAATCTTTCTATCTCTATGGAGTTGTCTATTCTGGATATTTTGTATAAATACGGTCATACAATATATGGTCCTTTGTGACTGGCTTCTTTCACGAAGCATAATGTTCAGGGTTCATCCAGGTTGTTGGATGTATCAGTACTTCATTCTCTTTTATGGCTGAATAACATTGTGTTGTATGGATGCGTACCATATTTTATTTATCCATTCATCAGCTGATGGACACTTAGGTTGTTTCCACGTTTTAACTATTATGAATAATACTATTATGAACAATCATAATCAGTTTTGGATATATATTTTCATTTTAGTTGGGCCCGTACCTAGGAATGGAATTGCTGGTTCATATGGTATCTCTATGTTCAATATTTTGAGGAACTGCGCAACTGTTTTCCAAAACGGCTGCAATATTTTAGTCTTGCCAACAATGTATGAGGGTTCCATTTTCTCCACATCCTTACCAACTCTTGTTATTTTCCTTTTTTTTTTTTTAAATTATAGCCATCCTAGTGTGAGAAAGTGGCATCTCTTGTGGTTTTAATTTGCGTTTCCAGCCCAATATTTTTTATGTAGACAGATTTAGTGTACACAGAGTATAAAATACTATCAGTATTAAAGTAGTATTTTTAAATAAAGTACGGTAGATGGTAATAGTTTTGTTTGATTTTACTCTTTTGTTTCATCTGAAATCGCTCTCTTAAATCTATTTCTGAGCTGGTTGTAGAAATTTACACTTCTCTTGCGTTTCTTTTGCAGTCAGTTTCCTCAGACAGACAAGATCGATTAAACCAGACCATTAAAAAAGCAAAAGTCAAGAGTATTGATCTACCCATCCAGAGTACCCTATGTAGACAGTTGGGCCAAGATCTTCTCAACAGCTACATTGAAAATGAGGTATACAAATCTGAATTGATGTTGAAATAGGTGGTAATGTTGTATTCTGAAATTTTCATAGAAGTCAATGATTATCCCCCAAATTTGGGGAACTAGGCTATAATTCCTAAGGAATTATTAAATAGAGCATTAAGCTACTTTATGTTGAATGAAATACTGAGCTGTATTAAAGTCATTTACAGTATAGCTTTCATCTTAGTTACATGAAAAACATGGATTGCCTCCACTGTAGAGAAAGACCATTCCAAACACTAATGATTCTTACCGCCTTTTATTCTGTCTTTAATAGTAACACCCAGCCAACATTCTATGGGGAAGTATTAGCAGCTCCTGTCTTCTAATGTGTTATCCTTAAAGATTAAGCCTCTATTCAGAATGTCTTCTGACTTCCATTTAATACTTTTTAAAATCTGTCATCATTCTTGAAATTTTCTTTACATGTCTACATATTTAATTTTAGAGTCTCTTGAGGAAAAGAGTTTTGTTTCTTTACTAGTAGTTGTGTGAGAAGTAATGTATTTTCATTTTTTAAATTTCCATTTAAGTGGTGGTTCCTAATTTCCACAGGGTTGGCTGGCATTAAAAGTAAGTTTTCTTTGCAGTGCCCCATATTCTCCCATCTGCTGCATATTATTCTAGGAATTTCCACAAGAGATTTTGACTTTATAATGCTTGCTCTTTTTAGTCCCTACCTATATTACCTATTTGTTAATTATTAAAGGCCTCATTTTATGTGAAGCAAGCATTACTAGAGACCCTGAATAATTTGGAGTTTGTATGTTTTAGGAGTAATTTTCCCAAAGGAATGAATTGTGGGAAAACACAGCTGTGGCAAATTTCTTGTATAAAATAAGATTTTTCTTAAATTTTTAAATGTCTCACAATTTTAAATTCACGAATGGCAGTGCACTGGTAGTCGTATGTTTAAAATACTATGGTTTTGTTAAAGTGAAAATTTTGTTAAGTATTACAATCCTCAAATTCTTTATTTCTTTGCTTTTGATTATGACAACCATAATTTTTACTAACATCTTTAAACACTTTGATATCTTATTTAATCCTCAAAACCTATGAAGTGTAGGTACTGTTAGAGATCTGCATTTAGAGATGAGGAAACAGGAACAGGTAGACTAAACCATGCAAGGTCAGAGAATAACCTTTGGATTTAGATCCAGGTAGTCTGTCTCCAAAGCTCAAGATCACAGCCCCTATCCAAAACCCCTCCCAGGGCTAGCATTTATTCATCACCAGTTATGTGCCAGGCACTGTACTAAATATTTTATGTGAATGATGTCAATCTTATTAACAGCTTTTTGAGATAGAAGTATGCTCTCTATTTTAGGATGAGAAAATTGAGGCTTAGAGAAGTTAGGTGACTTTCCTGTGATCTCAGAGCTTGTAAATGGGGAACCTAGGATTTGAACCCGAGTATGTTCAAATGGCATAAAATTTGCCATTTTGGCCATTTTTAATTGTACAGCAGTTCACTGGCATTGATTATATTTGCAGTGTTGTACAACCATCACCACTATCTACTTCCAAGGCTTTCATCACCACAATCAGAAAGTCTGTAACCATTAAGTAATAACTCACCATTCCCCCCTTTCCCCAACCCCCAGTAAACTCGAATCCACTTTCTGTCTCTATGAATTTGCCTATTGTAGATAACTCATATAAATGTAATCATGTAATGTTTGTCCTTTTGTGTCTCGCTTATTGCACTTAGCATAATATTTTCAAGGTTAATCCATGTTGTAACGTGTTTCAGAACCTCATTCCTTTTTATAGTAGAATTATATTCCATTGTGTATGTATACATTTTATTTATCCATTCATCTGTTAATGGACAATTGAATTGTTTCCACCTTTTGGCTTCTGTGAATAATTCTGCAGTGAACATTGGCATACAAATATCTGAGTTCCTATTTTCAGTTCCTTTGGTTATATACCTACGGGTGAAAATGCTGGGTGGTACTGTATTCTTTGTTTAGCTTTTTGAGGAACCACCAAACTGTTTTCCGTAATAGCTGCAGCATTTTGCGTTCTCAACAGTAATGTTCAAGGGTTTCAGATTCTCCACATCTTCACCAACACTTATTTTCCATTTCCTTGGTTATAGTCATCCTAGTAGGTGTGAAGTGGTATTTGGTTGTGGTTTTGGTTTGCATTTCCCTAGTGCATATTCTTAATGTCAACTAATCTGAAACTTTTTGAATAGGGGAAGATGATAATGCAAGATAAGTTAGAGAAAGAAAGAAATGATGCTAAGAATGCTGTTGAAGAATATGTATATGATTTTAGAGACAAGCTGGGTACTGTCTATGAAAAATTCATCACTCAAGAAGTAAGTCTAAATTTTGTAAGTTTTTATTAGAACTATTTAAATGTTTCCTTGAGAATGCTAATACAAATTATGTAAATCACTGTACCAAATGTGTTGTTGCTGTCAATCTCCTTGGGCACATTTAGGAATGGTTTTTAGTTATTTTTCCAAATTGTAAAAGTGTGTTGAAAAGTATGTTTATGAATAAAAAGGCAGAAAAGTCTGAAATTTAATCTTTTATACTTGGAAAACATCCTGTCCTTCCTTGATGAGTTTTATTTCTAAGGAGAGCATTTTCAATTAATGTTTGTTAAATGTATAACTAGGACTTAAATAAACTATCTGCAATATTGGAAGACACAGAAAATTGGCTTTATGAAGAAGGAGAGGACCAACCTAGACAAATTTATGTGGATAAGCTTCAAGAACTAAAGGTAAATTTTTTAAAGTTCGTGTTAGTGTTGAATAGAATATTATTTTCCTAAAAATTATGGTTTAAGAGCACAATGTATGTTTTTAATAAATATGTAAGAAATTACTAAGGGAGATATGTGTAAGAGGAAATTCTACTTTTAAAAGCATTTTGAGAGGTGAGTAGTGCTGTTACATGATAACTGAAATCAAACAATGTATAGTCACATTTGTCTTTCATGATACTCAGGTATAAATATTTAGCAGATGACCAGAGTGTTAGTATTACTTTTACACAAGACATATATTTCTGAAATGTCATTAAAAATTGGTTTGTCAGCCTGACCCCCTCTTATCCGTTAGAGGAGTCACTCTTCCTCTGCTTCTCTCTCTCTTCACTGCTCTGATTTTGAGGAGTAATACACTGCCCTTTTGTATTCTCACGTTGCAACTAATGGGGACACCTGGGCAGCAAAGAACTTCACAAATAGCACCCCTGTCCTTGAATGTCCTTTCGCAAAGAAATAAGGAAATGTGGCCACCAGGTCCCCTTTTCCTAGGTCGATGAAATGATTTTAAGACCACTATTACTACTTTCCTCCTATTTGCTACCCAACCCTCCCCTCACCCTGAAAAAAATACTTTAAGAGATTAGAAGTTCAGATTGGAAGGATGAGAGGATTTTAGTCTTTCAGTCTTAGTGGGGATCATAGCAGTGCTTAATGTGCCCCTGAATTACCTGGGGCTCTTATTGAAATACCGATTATAATTCAATATATCGGAGGTGAGCCCGTGATTCTGCATTTTTAACAATCTTCCAAGAGATTCTGACTCTCCTGGTCCCTGAACCATTCTTTGAGTAGCAATGGAATACATAGATGCTAAGTGATGATGACATTAGTAAGAATTTCTAGAATATGAGAAAAGGCAGCCCTTTAGGACTGGGGCAGGGGGTTGCAAAAGAAGTTAATATCTTGCATAAATTACCTTCACGCCGATAAATTACTTCCAAAGGGACTAATTAGAAAGCAACTAGAAAACCTAAGCTTATGATAGCAAAACTAGGCTTCGTCATATTTTATATTCTTGGTGGTTTTACTGCCAGTCTCTCTAAGAGCATGTATATATTTTGAGCCATAGGAACAGCTGGGCAGCTAATAAGGCCAATAGAAATAACTGAAAAACCCAGAAACTCCCAGAATGGATTATTTTGCCTTAAATATTAAAGTAACCAAAGAAATGAAAGTTACAGAAGTTTTCACAGGTTTTACTATTATTTTTTGAGATGGCTTTTAGAAATGAAAAATGCAGTACTTGCTCCCCTTTCAAAAACATTTACAATAAAAAGTATGATATAAATAGACTAAATGCAGTATGGTATCCTGGAACCGAAAAAGATAAAAGCTGAATAAAGTCTGGAGTTCAGTGAATAGTAATGCACCAGCATTGGTTTCTTAGTTATTTGATAAATGTACATAGTGGTGTAAGATGCTAACATTAGAAAAAAGCGATGAGAGGTGCTTGACTCTCTGCTGTTTCCTTTGTAACTTTTCTGAAAATCTGAAACTATTCTAAAATAAGCTGATTTTTATTTAAGTATGTAAAGAATTTAAAAGAAAATAGTCATTCATTCTTCTAATGCCTCCGCCTCCTCAAAGTTATAGAGGTTGTTTTAACATTTAGAAATTCCCCATTCTAGGCACCTGGGGCAAGAGGCCAAAGGTTTTTTTTAAAAAGTGCCACACTTATAATACGGTACACATTTTAATCTAATGAATATGATGTACACCTGAAATCTATATAATGTTATAAACCAATGTTACCTCAATAAAAAAAGAAAAAAGTAATATAAATAATATTCAGTAGACATTAGATATCAGGAAATCCCAGTAATCATGTTGCTTATAGAAAGTTATATGCATTATAAATATTTGAAACCAAGTTTCAAATACATGAATTCTGCATGCAGTATAGTCCTTATGGTTTTCTTATTTTAATAGTTTTGTAAACTTTTAATACCTAACTTTGAAGGAATTAAAGTTTTGCCTTTGGACTTGACAGGAATCAAGAGGTAATCTTAATGAATGAGAGAAGAACATAAGTCATGAGTTAGGCATCCCTGTGTAGGGTTGAGTAAGCAAATAACCACTGGAACTCACTTCCATTTGGGAAATAAGAGGGGACATATTTTAATCTGGCCAACTTTCTTTCCTATTCATCTGTGAGGACCCAGTAAAAGTTGTCTTCTAAGTTGTTTTCTGTTAATATCCTTTTTAAAAAAATTTATGTTAACAGAAATATGGCCAGCCTATTCAAATGAGATACATGGAACATGAAGAGAGACCAAAAGCTTTAAACGACTTGGGAAAAAAGATCCAACTTATCATGAAAGTGATAGAAGCATACAGAAACAAGGTATTGAATTCATGAAGCCAGCTGATGATGTGTGTGTAGTACATGGTGAGCTCAGGTGGGGTAAATATGACTGTTGTACAAAGCTGTTGCGGGTGTTGCTACTGAATTCCAGAGACACTGTGCACCAAACTGAAAACTTATTGTTTCATTGGAGAATTGTCAGTAAAGGATACTGATACATTTAAAATACAGTGCAGGTATGTGGCTTTAATCTTCTAAAATTCCCTAAAATGACATTATAAATTAATCCAGTGACCTAATCTATGTTTTTTTCTTAGAGATTTCATTACTGATACAGTGAAAAAGGTTTTATTGGACCTTTTTTTATTACAGGCCTCTTTGAGGCTGGACTTGCAGAGCCTTTATTTTGTCCCTTGATCTCTTTGTCTTATGGTTGCTCTTTGTCGTCTAGTCCATTAGTCATTTGTAATCCCCTATACCCTTTATTCTTTTATATACCTACCCAAATCTATATTACTATTCTTAACCTTTCCACTGTTTTTAAGCCTCAAGTATTTAGTTACATAAATGATATCTCCATTTGGATGTAGCAGTAAGATTTGACAGAATTAAGTTTATCATTTTTTTCCTCTAAACCAGAGGTTAGCACACTTTTTCTTTGAATGAGCAAATAATAAATACTTTAGGGTTTGCAGGCCTTATAATCTCTATAGAGCTATTTAACTCTGCCATTGTAGTGTGAAAGCATCCATGTACAATATGTAAATGAATGGACGTGGCTATGTTCCAAAATAACTTTGTTGAAAAACACAACCAGCAGGTTGGATTTGGCCTGCAGGACAAGTTTGCTGACTCCTACTTTAGTCACTATAATTCCCCCAGTTTTTATCATTGATGTTAAAACACTATCAATGGGCAAGAGAGGCTAGCACCAGAAAGATTCAGACAGGGTATCATAATAATAGCTTACATTTATCAAGCACTTAGTGAATTTTAAGCACTTCACATGGGTTATCTCACTTTCTTCTCACAAGGGTATATCATACAAGAAAACTGCAGTGCTTAAACAATTTGTCATGGATTACACAGGTAGTAAATGGTGGAGTCAGGATTAAAACTTAGGCAGTCTTAAGTTAACATAGAAAGTCTTAACAACAATACTGTTTTTCACTACACAGTGTGGAAAGAGGTTACTTATTTTAGAAATAAAAGATTTGTGAATTTTGTAAAATAAGATTGCAATCCAGCCAAACTCAAAGAAGAATCCAGATACCAATTGTGAATGTGCCTGCCAATGTCAATGTCCAAATTGTCTGTACAGGTACAAATTAGAATGCAAGGATAATGGAAAGCTGAGAAGGAACAAACAGACAAATGAAAACACCCAGAATATTTCAAGTTTGGTATTGGAGATCCACATACAATTACTACGGCCCAGTTTTCCCCAGGCTTGAGCAATCTTCTTGAGTGTGCAGGTTTAAGATATTATCCAAAGCAAGGGAAGACTTTACTTATGTTCAAGGATTTTGAGTTTTTATGATGTGCCAGGCTCCCTTCAAGGTACTGGAACTACAGCATCAAACAAAAAACATTGAACCTGTTTCTAATATGCTTTAGTGGGGAAAGGTAGACAACTGTAAGGTAGTCAGATGGTGATAAAGGACTATGGAAAAAGTAAACGACTGCCAGAAGTGGAGGAGATTTGTCAGAAGGGCCGACTAATAAGATGACATACCTGTGAGGGAAGAACGGAAGGAGGTGAGGGCTAAAGATGTATAATAACTGTAAGAAGAAAGTTCTAGAAAAAAGGAATAGCAATTGCAAAACTTTGAAGGGAGAACATGTTGGCGGAACAGCAAGGAGGACAAGTGGCTTTTAAAACAGTGGAGGTGGAGTTAGCAGTTGCCAGATCATAAATGGCCTATTACTAGGCCATTGTAAATAAGTTTGGTTTTGATTCCTATCCAATGGATAGGAATCCATTGGAGGTTTTTGAGTATAGAAGTAATATGATTTGCCTTATTTTTTAAAAGATCTGGAAGCAGAGAGACTAGTTAAGACATTATTAATATAAGCAAGAAATGATGGAGGCTTTAACCTGGATAGTAGAGGGAGAAGAAGTGGTCCGATTTTTGCTGCATATATTTTGAAGGCAGAGCTAATAAGATTTGCTGATAGATTTTATGTAAGTATAACAAAAAGAGGAGTCAAAAATGACTCCAAGGATTTTGGCCTGGAAGGATGAAGTTGCCATTTACTGAGATGGGGAAAACTGGGAAGAGTAGGTCGGGGAGGTAATCAGGAGTTTGAAACATAGGCAGTCATTTCAGACTTTACAGATAGAAATTCAAGTTGCAAGTTGGATATAGAGTTGGGAGTTCAGGGAAGAGGTTCATGCTAGAGATTTTTAAAAGCATGTATATGGAAGGATGAACGGGGAGGAACTTAAGAAGTGATCCGTGAAGTAGGAAAGAATTCAAGAAAATGTGGGGACCCGGAAACTGAGTCAAGATGATAGATGCATGATTTGTAATCATACAAGCAAAAAGAAGACTTGAGCATCTGATGAAGCTTTCTGGTTTTAAAAAACAGCATCACGATTCTCCCAGTTCTTTGGCTTTGGAGTATTCTTTCATTCTCTTTCCTTTTATTTTCCATGTCCAATCTATAATCTACCAAAAGATCCTCTTTCTATATGTTGCATTGCCATTTCTTTCTGGTTTTGTGGCCACCAATCTAAACTATAACCTTTTAGATTATCTCCTATATGTGGCAGCTACAGTTCTCTTTTTCAGACAGAATTTTATTATGTAATTCTCCTTATTAACAGCGTATCATGTTGTTTTGTTGTATTCAGAATTTTCTGTCTAGCTTGCTGTATGCCTGCTTCTCTTATTTCTCTCTGTTCCCTAATAAATTCAGTTCCACGCAGCTTCTTTCTTGGCTAACTGCTTTTCCCTTGAATGTTCTCATTCAAAAATCATTCTTTTCCAAACCTGCCTGTTCAGAAAGGCTTTCCTTTTAAAAGCCCACACTGATTTTTTTCTTTTCTCCAGTCTCTTCAGTTTTATGTAATTTGCATGTGGCTTCTTCATATGAGTATATGTGAGGTATACACTCAATAAGAGTTTAAATCTTTTAAATAGAAATTAATAACAAAATGTTGCTGGGGGCCAGCCCGGTGGCATAGTGGTTAAGTGCACGCACTCCGCTGCGGCGGCGCGGGATTCACGGGTTCGGATCCCAGGCGCACACTGACGCACTGCTTATCAAGCCATGCTGTGGCGTTGTCCCATATAAAGTAGGGGAAGATAGGCACAGATGTTAGCCCAGGTCCAATCTTCCTCAGCAAAAAGAGGAGGATTGGCAACAGATGTTAGCTCAGGGCTGGTCTTCCTCACAGAAAAAAAAAAAAAAAAAAGTGTTGCTTACTGAAAAATTTGTTACATTAAGCAAAGGTTGTCTTAATAGGATGAAAGATATGATCATTTGGAGCCTGCTGAAATGGAAAAAGTTGAAAAATACATCAGTGAAGCCATGAGTTGGCTGAACAGTAAGATGAATGCACAGAATAAACTAAGTCTCACTCAAGATCCTGTGGTGAAAGTTTCAGAAATAGTTGCCAAGTCAAAGGTAAGAAACTATAAAATTTTCTTTTTAGTGGGTACAAGCACTAAAATGTTTTAATGGGAGTCATATGTTGAAAAATAATCAACTTGCAAAAGAACTTAGAAAAACAGAAATTTAAGGCTAATTTTCTATTTTGAAAAGTTTATAGATGGGAAATCTCTGTTCCTTGATTTAGTCACATACACAAGGCTATTTTGTAAATTTTAAGTGTAATACAGAATGAAATAAAGCAATGTGACGACTTCTGACTGTCAAATATGTCAGACTTTTCTAGATTGTATAAGACTTGTAAGTCTCCATTGTAAAACTTTGCAGTATAGGTCTGTCTTGGACATAATTTGAAATGTGTAAAATTCTATGGTAAAATCCTTTTTCTGAGATAAACTTTACAGTGTAAAAAACATTACTAATGAAAATGTCAAAGATTATCATAGAAACACCATGAAAAACATGGGGCAAACTTTATAATAAAGATCAACATTAGAAAAATGAGTAGAGACATTGGATAAGCAATTGACAAAATAAAAAATACATGCCCAATAAATATATGAAAAGATCTTTATCCTCATCCCTAATCTATAAAATGCAGATCTTTCTTTTCACTCATCTGATTTGGTTTCTGTTCACATTTATAATCTTTTGTCATAGTTGTCAAGGGTGTGAAGAAATGGATGCTCTCCCTGAGCAACTCGGGTAAATTTGTTACAACTTTTCTGGGACATAGTGTCAGAATATGTATAGAAATTTAAAAGATACCCTTTAACCCAGAAGTCACAATTCTAGGAATTCATCCTAAGTTTATTATTGCACAAGTATATGCAGATAAATACCCTTGCTTATAATAGCAAAAAATTGGAAACAGCCTAGATACCCATCAGTAAGAAACCAGATAAATTGATGCATCCATACAACACATTGCAACCATTAAATTTACTTTAGATATAGAGATATATCTATATAGGTAAAGATGTGTACAACATACTGAATGAAAAAGGAGATTACAGAATCTAAATCAAGTTATCTCACTGTGTAAATTAAGCGTGTTCATAGATTTACATATTTGTATGTATATGTATGCATGGATATAAATCTAGGATGTTCACCAAAATGATGTTAATGTTAATCTGTAAGAGATGGAATTTCAGGTGATTTTTTAATCTAGTTCACTATATTTTTAGGTATTTGATTTTTTTAACAAAAACAGCTATTTTTTTAATCAAAGCAAAAAAAGTATTGCTAAGAAGCTGTAATAATTTACTCCTAATCAGATGAGACGCAGAGTGTGATAAGAGCAGTTTGCCGCTAAAACATTCCCCCAGGATGGTACTCCCTGTCTTTCCATCCCTATCCCAATCTCTGTGACACTGGTCTTGAAAGATTTTAATGGTCTTATTTCTGTGAAAAAAAAAAAAAAAAAAAATCAAGGATATAGAAAATACACTGTATTTCTTTTAAATTATTGTAAGTTGCATTTACTTTCGTGGCTTATTTTTCCTTTAACAGAAAAGGCTACTCAGCTATTTTCAAAAAGTAAATTTAATGTTATATTTATATAACTCCATTTATTAAAATTGTTTTCATGTAAATGTTGAGAAATATTAATTTATGAAATAGGTGGTATTTGACATAATTCTCATAACAGAGTATTAGGCGTAATTTAAAGGAATGAATTAAAAATTATTCCTGCCCAAGTAAGCTATATTTAAATTACGAGGAATCAATTTTTAGGAAGATTAGATACAAAATGTATTGTTAAAGATTGAATAGTTTCCTATCACCCAGACATGCACTAGCCCAGAAGGTAAATCTTGCATTGAATTGTTTGAAGAAACAGTTGGTTATATAGCTGAGCCATCGTAAATTCAGGAATGTGGAATTACGTGGAAATTTAGACAGTTAATGTGGAAATTTAGAAAAGTTAATGTGGAATTTAGAAAGTTGATGGTAACTTGTTCTATAATATTTTTAATATAATCAATTTTATTCATGTCTTTAGGAACTGGATAATTTCTGTAACCCCATCATTTACAAGCCCAAACCGAAAGTAGAGGTTGCTGAAGACAAAGCAAAAGCTAATGGTGAACACAATGGACCAATGGATGGACAGAGTGGGACTGAAACTAAACCAGATACAACAAAAGACAGCTCACAGCATACTAAATCTGGAGAGATGGAAGTGGACTAAGTCTTAATTTTACCTTCACGTAATTCAAACAGTGCAAGTAACCACAGGGTCCATTCTTCTGGTACACACAACAGATGTTCAGTTGTTCTTAACCACTTTTTGTCATTTGTTTTTTGGTGTAGTTTTGAAGAGTGTTTTATACTGAGCACACTTCTGTTCATTTCCATTGCTGCTTATGTGAAGCTTTAGCTGAATATAGATTTACAAGTCAGTTTAAGCTTTCCTAATATATTTTATATCAAACATGCAAGATTGATATGTAGTTGGCAACAATCTACCTTATTTAAAGCTTCTACTTGGATAAACCTCCGCTCCTTTATTCATAAAAGGATACTGTATTGCACTATTGTTGCAGATGCATAGATTTAATTGTCATTATTTTGGGGAAAAAATAGGAAATTGATGTGGTTTAAAGCCACTGAGGCACTGACATTTCCTAGTTATGGTATTGTTATAGTTTAAATATTAAAACAAATAAGAGGTTCCTTGACAAATTATTCCATCTCATTGGTGTACTGTGAGAACTCCAAAGCTTTGTTGTCATCACATAAATGAACTAAATCACATGTTGAAAGGGGAAAATGCACAATTTTATGTTAAGGTAACACCAGCAGTTTGCTTCTTTTATTAGTAACGTGGGTTGATGTTTTCTCAGAGTAATTCAGTGTCATTTTCACTTGGAACTTCTGATCTATTTGTCCTGAAGACCAGCTGCTGCTAAACTAATGCTAGCCTAAAGATAAAGAAGCATTTTTGATGAAAATACCTTCATGTTAAGGGGGAAATGCTGTTAACCTACTCCGATATGCGTCTGTGATGTTGATAGCCTTGTTTCAGTTTTAATAGTTGTTTTGGTTTTCTTAATTGATTTTGTTAATATCTTAACACAAAGTAGGGAGAAATGGCACAGTGCGTTGCATTATATACATTTATCACTGACTTGCTTAATGTTAAGATAAACACTATTAAATAAGCGGTAATACTTGAAAAGAAGCACTTATACCATAAGTCTTAGGAAATAATGCTTGTAATAAACTTAACTATGTCATATATCAACAGGCAAAATATAGAATGTTACTATTGTAATATGATATGATGTGATTAAATTATAGTTCCTGCTGTTACGTTGCCTGTTCAGACCTTGGCTCCAGTTTTGGTGCTTCTTATATAAATTATATGGCACAAGGAACTGTGAAATGAAGACATTTTAAGGACTTAATCTGTGCTTTATCACCAGACTTGTTCACATTATTCAGTTCAGAGGCTTGAAACTATTTAAGTACGGAAGCAGGATGAAATGACTTTTCAACAGATAAAAACAAAGAAGCATAGACAATGCATGGGCACTTGTGTTGAATGCCAATCAACTAGATTGACCTCAGTTAAAATTTTGAAATGCTCACTTTTTCCCAAAGCTAAATCCTTATATTAAGAAGAGTTAGTATTGCCTTTCTTAAGTAGTAAAAATTGAGAGTTTAATATCTTTAGGGATAGTCATTTCTCACAACTAGTTCTCTAAGAGAGATTTTGTTTCTACAATGTAGTCCGCACTGAAAGGACAGTATGGAGCAGTGCATTTTGCAGGGATTTTTCTTCATCCCTTTTGAGGAAGATGTCCCTTGTTTTGCATTAAAAAAAATCATATCATTTTTTAAATGTGTTCTAGTCTTTAAACTATTCTTGTCTTAATACTCTTAAAATGAAATAATATATCCATTAGTAATAATTGATGAAGTACATTTTTTTAAAAGCACGTATCAGTTACTTCTCATTTCTATGTTGAATATATAGTTTCATTTCAGGAAGAGCATCAGGTTATGAAAAGGAATATATAACAGTACACATCAGGAGTTGATAGCTTTTTCTTGAGTTAACAAGAAAACCTCCACCACTTTGTTAGGAGGTATACCTCAAAAACGTCTCAGAAATAAATGTGCATCTGAATTGTGTAGTATATCCTGACATTTTCCATTCCTTTAGTAAGTTTATTTTAGTTCTGTGTTTTAGTCAGATATGTAACATTCCAATTCTTGCAGTTATATAACACTTCATTTAATAAGTACATTCAAAGATAATATGTATACTTTTCCTACCCATTTATTCAACTTAAATATTTTCAAAAGCCCATTAACCTTATAATGTAGTTACTTATTGAATTCATTAATAAAAGAGAGTAGTATGCTCTCCTTAATACAGTTTTGGGTAGAAGGTATAGTTCAGTTTAATTTTAATCTGCACTGAAATATGCAGTGATAGACAAAAATTAAAGATTTTTTCAAAATAAGAAGCCACTATTTTGGAAGTTATTTTAAAAGATACATAGCAAAATAGAATCTTTTCCTACAGTAAGCAAATAAGAACTTAAGTATATAGGAAATATCTAAGGTGATTAATAAATATAGATTAGTACACTTTGACTCTATGGAAGGTATAAATTACCTGGTTTCAGAAACCAACTCCTGATAGCCAATTATACTGATTATAAAAACAAAGATTGCTAAATAACGTGACAAAGGAAAGTTTGTGATGTTTTAATTCCTTAGCAGTATACACAATTCTTAACTTTGAAACAACTAGAAACAACACATCAAAGAATTAGGCTATTGGAACAACAGATAATCCCAGTTTTAAAAGGGTAAGTAGACTTTTATTTCTTAAGAAGAAATAAAGATTTCTTAGACTTTTTTTGGTCAATTTTTAGTATATTTATGGTTATTTTCTAGCTAGTCTTTAAAGTGAATTTTGGGGCTCAGTTATCAATTTAATAAAATGATAGTGTTAAAGCATTTTATCCAAATTAACACATGTTTAACTGTTTTGAAAAATTATTCTTATTTAAAGACAATAGACATTTAAATATGGTGATCAAATTAGTTGACTTCAGTTTGACCCAAAATAGGTATAACCATCTCTCCATTTTCGTAAATTTGAATTGTAGCAATAAGCCTATAAACATTCCCATTAGGATTTTTTGTTTTGTTTTTAGTAGTTGGTATGTAGTAGTCTACAACAATTAAAGCCTTGGCATTAATTTTACATATCATAGATCTAGAAATGATTCTTAAATGACTAGAAAAATATAACTTCATCTTTCTCACCTTTTAGAATTTTACAACCAAAAACTTCAAAAGTAAATGTTATTTTATGGTTAAACTTTGGAGGTTTTGAGTTTTAAGTGGAATTTGGTTTTGTAATATTTGATTCTGTAAAACTTAATGAGAAGCCTATCTATAATTGTATTGATATATTAGTATTTAAAATCTCATGTCCTTGATTAAATAAAGTTATCCACTGATGAATTTTCAAATTACATAGATAGGGATGCTTATAAACTTTGATTCTGATCTTTTATTATCCCCTTACTACAATATATTTTATACTTATCAGTCATTTAGCAAACTAAATAATCTTCTTAAAGCAGTCAGTCGTTTTCAGAAGATACAGACCTTTTGATCAAAAAAGAAAAACAGGTTTAAAATTACGTTTTGTTTTTTGTCAAGGTCTGATTTAATCCAAAGTATCATTTTAAAATCCCAGGAAACACATAATCTTTTCTTTTGATAAAAAGTAACAAAAATTTAATGCAGATCAAAGACCAAGAGTCTTAACCAAAACAAAAAAATTTAGCTATTTTATTTCACATCTCTATTTTAAAATGCACTAAAATTAATATTCTTCCATATACTGTTTCCTAAGAAAACAGCTTTGAGTTTATAATATGGCCAAATGTCTTTCTAAGATTTTTTTTTCCTTACTAAATTCAAGGGTAATTTTTTCATACAATAAAAAGTGACCTGGAATTCTTAGAATGTGAAACAAACTAGAAACTGCTTAGAACAAAAGAAGAAAACCTAAATGTCTGTGGCAGTAGTCGGTACCTATAGGTGTAATGGTTCTTTCATCTTCCAGATCCCTAAGGATACCTCTAGCATATTGTTAGAGTAAGTATTAAAAGACAAAGCACCTCTGTTAAAAGACATTATTAAATGACTTGGAGCTTTCAAGTCAAAGGAAAAAACTAATAATTGAATCAGGAACATTTGATTCAATCTGTCACGCGGATCAAAATCCATAACAACAACTAAAATTAATGGTATGATCTTTGCTTTGAAATCTGTAATTTATTGTCATGTTCTAAGTCACAGGATGATTATTAGGGAAATGTATTGACACCTAAAAAAGACCCATCCTATAAAGAAATGATTGAAATTCATCATGTTTTAGATACTTTAATTGCATTAAATTTTATAAGCTATAAATGGAAATGATCTTAGTCTTTCCTGGCTATCTTGTTTTATTTATCCTCTCATCCAGTTCTGGACTCGTAAATAATCATTATACTTTTCTCAAGTATATTTTGCTTTTTTATTTTGGATTCTTCTTTAGGTCTTTTATTTCGTGGATTTTTACAAATAGTTTCACTGCTATCTTATTTTGATAGCTAATTTTATTACCGTTGTCTCCTTTTTACTTTAATACCAAATCTTACTATTAAGAATTTTTTGACTCCTAAATTCATACTTGAAAAGTCATGGTATAAGTTTCCATATGTAATATCTCTAAAATTTAATAGTGGCTTGAGTAGATTTTTCATATTCTGGCCTCAGCACGTGTTTAAGTAGTTCTGGACCCCAAAAGGTCAGTTTTGTGAGTACTGTACATTAAGTAACCAACGTCCCTTGTTTTTAATCCAAATATCAATGTGACAAAATAACAAGGGTCAGAAATTCAAAATAGTTGTTAAAGATCAGACACCTTCGATTCTTTGCTGCTGTCTGATTATATATGTTATGCATCTTCCTTGTTTTTTTAGAATTTCCTAAATTTTTTGCTTCCAAGACCTTAAGATAAAATGCTCTTGAACTCATATAGACCCACCCAGAATGTAGATGTTAAAATGTAATTAGAGGGGCCGTCCAGGTGGCGCAAGCAGTTAAGTGCGCGCGCTGCGCTGTGGCGGCCCAGGGTTCGCTGGTTTGGATCCTGGGCACGCACTGACACACTGCTTGTCAAGCCATGCTGTGGCAGCGTCCCATATAAAGTGGAGGAAGATGGGCAGGGATGTTAGCCCAGGGCCAGTCTTCCTCAGCAAAAAAAGGAGGATTGGCAGATGTTAGCACAGGGCTGGTCTCCTCACAAAAAATAAATAAATAAATATGTAATTAGAGATGGAAATCTAGGTAATGGAACCTTTAAAGTGTTACTTTTTTTTTTCCCTGAAATAAACTTTTATGGCTTAGTGCCTTGGAAGGAGACTCACATTAAAAGTGGTTACCTTTTGGGGCCAGCCCTGTGGCCTACTGGTTAAGTTTGGGGCACTCCACTTTGGCGGCCCAGGTTCGGTTCCTGGGCACAGACCTATGGCAGTTGGCGGCAATGCTGT